AGTGGAGGCCCCATCCCTGGAAACATTCAAGACCAGGTTGGACAGGGCTCTGAGCAACCTGATCTAGTTAGTGGTGTCCCTGCTCGCTGCGGGGGGGTTGGACTAGATGACCTCTAGGGGTCCCTTCCAACCCAAAACTTTCTATGATTCTATGATTCTAAGTGTGTCCAGAAGAGGACCATGAAGGTGATCAGGTAGCTGGACAGACTGAGAGAGTTGGGGTTGTTTAGCCTGGAGAATGGAAAGCTTTGGGGGAGACCTTACAGTGGCCTTCCAGTACTTAAAGGGGGCCTACAGAAAAGATGAGGAGGGACACTCTATCAGGGAGTGTAGTGATAGGATGAGGGGTAATGGCTTTAAACTGAAAAAGGGTAGATTTAGATTAGATATAAGAAAGAAATCCTTTACAATGAGGGTGGTGAGGCACTGGAACAGGTTGCACATAGAACTTGTAGCTGCCCCCTCCCTGGAAGTGTTCAAGACCAGGTTGGATGGGGCTTTGAGGAACCTGGTCTAAATGAAAGGTGTCCCTGCCCATGGCAGAGGGGTTCGAACTAGATGATCTATACGCTCCCTTCCAAACCATTCTATGATTCTATTCTTCTAAGATTATAAAGTGAATGTGGCCAATATTTAAAAGATTAAAAGCTGGTCCGAAAGATCTCATAATATACATAAATAGGAATTTCTATTTATTCTGTCACTGAATTGGTTTTTGCCCTTTACTGAATATCTCACAGGTATCTCTTCTTGGATCAGTCCTGTTCAAAATTTTCATCAGTGATCTGAGTAAAATATAAAATCATTGCTATTAAAAATTGGCAGATGACACAAAAATTACTGAAGAGATAAACAACGACACGGACAAATCAGCAATACAGTGCAATGAAGAGTGCTTGGTGAAGTGCATTAAATAGCCGAATGCAACATCATGCACCTTGAAAGCACTATATCTGACATCTAAACCATAATGACTGCACTGGAATATAAAGACCATGAACATGCCATAGGAAATACACACCTTGAACAATTTCCCCTGAGAGCAAATTAGCGCACCACATAGCAGCTTCTGGAATACAATGTAGCTCCTATCATTGCATGATGCTACTGATCTGTTAGCATGACAAGTGAAGAGCACAGGAAGGCACTGAAAGGTGACACCCTTCCCACTGGCAAGCTGATCATGAAGGGGTCTCTGCAACTTTCCTTTCAGCAACAAGCTGCCACCATGCAAAAGTCAGTAGATGATAGAAGTAACACTGAAACTGTTGACACTATAATTGGCTATCTCCGACAATGCCAACAGGAGACAAAAGCAGCAGCAAAACAACAAATGCTCTGGATTTATTCATGGCAGATGTTTACTTTCTCTGCTGGAGTAAAAAATATCAAGCATCTTCCCATCTATATCAGACATCAGTCTGGAGATCACTGTGATTTCCAGGAAGCCAAGATGACCAAAGACAGTCCAGATGTAATAGAAAGGCACTGCTGGACTTATTGTCAGCTGTATCTCCAATTGTGCTTTGACTGATGCTGAACAAGATGCTTGCAATACTGTATTAGAGGACATTGTTTCTTGAACATTCAGCCTGAAAACTAGAGCTGACAATGACAGAATTAGATTCAAGCACACAATTTACCAGAAGACACAGTAAATAATTATTCTGACCTCTTCCCCCCCACAGAATAGCAAATCTTATCTTCGATAGTTAATACAGTTGCAAAAGAAGAAATTGCCTTAAACATACCACTTTTATACCCATCAGCCAATTATG